CTAAACAAATTACAAACAAATACGAAAAACAAAGTATTACACCTAAAGTGTGTAATTTCCCAAACAACAACAAATAAAACTAGTTAAAATTACACACATAAACAAACATAACTCTATACTATCAGTGATAACATCTCTTCGCAAACCGGCCTGCTCTGCGAACACTGCTCCTCCGATAGAGAAGCCTCTTTTCCCCGCTCGGCGTAAACGAGTAAGCCCCTTTTCTCTGTTCAATTTATCAATCTGACATCTTCCTCTTACAATTGAATAGCTTCTTGTAGGTTGTGATATTCCGGACAATCTCTTTACTTCTCAATATATAAATAGAAATATGCATTCCGACCAATGTTATAATTGGCTTAATAAGTGACTTTTCATTAATTATAATTACTCATACATATGGTAGTGACTAGTGAGCGCGTACACACATATATAATAAAACTAAAAAAATCGTTTTATCCTGTGCATGGCACGGGTAAAGATACTAGTTGATTTAATATTACATAAGAAAATTCAAACAAATTATTGTATCCCAGTTAGATGAAGAAGGGGAATTCAACTATGCATCCCATTTTTAACGATACTTGATTTTTAATCATGTTTCGAGGAAAATTAATGTGTGCACCCCCAACGGAAAACACGTGAAGTGGTACTTCCATATTTCAACAAGCATTTTATCTGTATAGTATTGGATTCTGTTTTTTACAATTTGTTGCCTAATTTGTGTCATGTAGTGCTAATTAATTAATTCATCTTACTATTTACCAGGTTTATTTTTTGTGTTTGCTACTTTTAAGTTTAATTTCTTAAAATATAACTCGAGACCGGCTTTAGGGGCTCTTGATTGATTATTCAATTCGTAGCGATAACGAGACCATTTATGGAGAGGAGTGTTGAAAGATAGTCTGGCGCGCTCAAGACACTCGAGAGAAAAATATAAACATTCAAGCACAGAGTACAAAATAGTAATTTCATTCTTAATAAGTTCACACTATCAAGTAAATATAATACAAATTGCACTATTTTCCAAACCAAGGTAGATTCACAATTTTTTTGGATGAAAAATATAACTTCAAGGATTTCTTAGGGGTGGAATGCCGAGTGTATATGAGGTGGAGCACTATACGCTAAGAGTGGATTATAGATCGGGGTGTATTCTGATCACACTTATTCGATAACACCATATATGCTATAAGTAGACACTAAGTTTGATTGAATCATAGTAGTATCTTTTAAATTAATTTTTTCCACCCAAAAAAATGATAAGACATCTGCATTACAAGTCTACAACATATGATTTGAGGATTCGTAATTGTATTTTTGTGAGTATTAATAAGAGAGTACAATTTGTACTTCATGAGAAAGAGATTCTTGTTTGGTTTTTTATAATGGTAAAATTGCTAATATTTACAAATTCAAAGACTACATGAAAGTAGTGTGTAGTCCAAGGTAAATAAAAGTCTTTCTTTACATTTTTTTTCTGATAGATTCTACTTGCAAGTTAAATAATTTTACATGGACCCAAGGATGGGTTCACAAGATAACGAGTTTAGTAGTTTGTTTAGATTGACTAGCTATATCAAAGCTTATAACTTCTTTTTCAAATGTCTTTATTAGAAATTTATTTTGCTTTATTGGAACAACAATGATTTTGTTTCGAAGTATTTATGATCGTTAAACAAGTGTAATTTAAATGTTTCAACCAATAATTGTAGCCTCATTAGATAAAGAAGAAAACTTTGACTATTCATCCCATTTTTGGATGATACTAGACTTTGTATCATGTTTCCGGAAACATTGTGTGCATCCCACCATGTGAAGTGATACGTTCATAATTCAACAAGTATTTTATGCGTATTGGAGTTGGATTTATATATTTTCATTGGCCAATTATGTGGGTTTCTCTTTTGTGTTTGCTATTTGTAGCTCTAAATTCTTAAACATATAACCCGACACTGGTTATAGGGACTCTTGATTGATGATTCGTAGCAAAAACAAGACTATTTATGAAGAGGGGTGTTAAAAGATGATCATCTCGTTCAAGAAACTCATTTGTGAAGAGAAAAAGTGGAACATCAAGCACGGAGTACACAATAATACGTAGTAATTTCTTAATTATCTCATACTAGCTATAAAGTAAATAGAGTACACTTCTATTTTCTAAACCAACACACATGCTAAAGTTTGTTGGATGCAAAGAATAACTTTAAGGGTTTCTTAGGAGTGAAATTTGGAGCGTATATGAGGTGGTGCACTATACAGTAAGGGTGAATTATGGATCAGAGTGTATTCTGATCACATTTGTTTTGATAACACCATACCCTATAAATACACACTAAGTTTGATTACATCATATCTTATAAATTAATTTTTTCCATCCAAAAAATTGATTAAACATCCACACTACAATTAAATCTACAACATATAGTTTGATGATCCGTGACTGTAATTTGGCAAGTATTAATAAGAGAGTACAATTTGTACTTCATGAGAAAGAGATTATTGTTTTGTTTTTTAGAAAGGTAAAATTGTTCATATTTACAGATTCAAAGATTATACTTGAAAGTAGTGTGTAATCCACAGTGAATAAAAGTCTCTCTTCACATTTTATCTTCCCGACAAATTATACCTTGTGCCAAGTTAAATAACTATACATGGACCCAGGAATAGGTCCACAAGAATGACTTGTTTAGATTGACTATATCAAAGCTCTTTTTTTATTGGAAACTGGTATATTATATAAAATTCAAATTCACAGTACAATCAGAAAATTTGCAAACAAAAAGTAACTCCCTCTAACCCAAAATGACCAAAAGCCTAGTGCCCCCCTCACCCCTAAATCAGACATAGAATCAACCTGATTGCCTCCAAACAAGAATCTATCAACTATAACAAACAAAAATTTCGACCTACCCCCTTATTGTTTGTCATGAAAATGACAAAATAGAAATAGTAAAACATTCTGGACTGAAAATAACAAAATAGAACATGTAAAATATTCTTCCAAACCCTAGCCGCACAGTTCCTCCATGGCGGCGGTTTGGGAGGGGGACGAATCGTCATCTCCTTGCCTTCTTCCTACATCACCCGAATTTGGAATTCTTCATACCACAGATCCCAAACCACCATTTTTCCACCCGGATCAAACACCGCTGGTGCAGCTTCAATCTGAATAATCAACAAAGCTAGAATAGCCAAACCAAGCAATGGAACATCAAGTCTCGCAACCATCACATGGCCTTCCTTATTATGTCACCCTCGTTACACGATTGACTGGTGCAGCAAATCCGAAACTCCCAATGCATGACCAATCCCTTTCACCCTTCAAACGCCCAACCTGTATCCAGCAACTCCCCAAGCTTCCGTCTGGATCCTTGCGAACGTTTCTGCTTGACTTGAAGATCATATAGCGATACCCCAAACTATGCGGACAAAACTGTCGCCACTAACCCTAGGCAACACTGCCTACCCGTCCGCCAAGATTATTAGATGTTACTATATCAAAGCTTATAAATTCTTTTTTCCTACGCCTTTATTAGAAATTTATTTTGCTTAATTGGAACAACAATGATTTGGTTTCGCAGTATTCAGATCGTTAAACCTCATCGTTTATGTGGTTAAATAAAATTTCCTTTAAATAGAAAATTAATTATTCGTTAAATATTATCATATGTTTCCTTTTAGTTGCAAAATTGATAATTTTATATTTTTTAAAGGAGAACACTTAAAATTTATTAATAGAAGATCCTAAACAATTATCAATCCTTTCCGCTACGTTCAAATTGAAGTATCCCATGGGTAGCACATGGATTTGCACCATAAAATCCGCCCTATTCAACGAAACAGGTGAAGGGAGACCCCTTGCTCAAGTTTACGAACAACAATAAGATTCTGGTCAAACATATCAGGTTCCTCATGGAGAACCCTATTATCAAGGTCAGTCTCATGAAACATATAACGGTTTGAGCCTAAATCCGAAATAGTTATCTCGTTCAAGGGTTTCCACGCAAACACCATCGTATCTCTAAAAAAAAGAGAAATGTACCGATTTTTCTCACGTGATAGTGCCTACCAATGCCAAACTCAAACTTACGGCCGATGACCCTATCTAAGCGATCACAAGCTCATTCAATCTCAGAGGCATCGATCAAGTTCCTTCCCGCACCCCCTGCGCTCGCTCTCCTTACTGCTAGCCGCTGGGAACGAAGTTCTTCCATATTCAAAGCATGTGTTTCACCTAGGGGTAAACAAAAAAAACACTGAAACCTACCGACAAATCGGCCAAAACCGAATTGATCAAAACCGAAACGAACTAATTCATCAGTAATTTGATTTATGGTATATCATTTGGGGTTAAAAACTAGCCAATCCAAAATCGTCTGATAAAACCCGGCCAAAACACGTTAAAATCGCTTGAAACAGATACAAATCGATCAAATCGATTCAAGCTATCTGGTATAATTCTCGATCTCACATGTTCTAAAAGTCGCTAAAAATGAATGATTAAAAACTGAAACTGACCAAAACCGGCTGACTAAAAACCAAAACCGACCAAAATCGAACCGATAACACCGAAATCGATGAAACCGAACCGACGAACACCCTTGCCTGAAGAAAGATCCGTAGCTAAAATTGATAATTTTATATTATTCACATGTTCTACTTTGAGTACATTTTATTTATTAATCTATGAGTATTATTTGTGTTCGAAAAAATTTGCTGAATTCACTTTATTACAAATTTTCATAATATGTTTTTTATTTTTTGTACTAACAGAGAATTAAATATAATGCTCATCATATTTGATCTGGACGAAGAAAGGTGAGTCATGAGTGAAGCAAATAAAGAAAAACAGTAAAAATAGCCATATGGGTCACCACGTGTGCATATTAAATGGTAAGTTGGTAACCAATTGTTTAGCGGGTGAATGCCTAATTTGAGTGTTATTTTAAAACTAAAAATACTTGATTGGATGATGTGAATATAATTATATTCAATATGAGATCTTGATTAACTTTTAGAATATAATATGAGAGCTTATTTGACAATTTTACTGAAATATAACAATAACTACGTAAAAGGATGGTAGGAGTACTTAAGGAAGATGGATGATTGGCAGTGAGAGGGTGGCATACTGGCATCTATGGGTTTGTCATCAGGGATTTCAATTCTATGGATGGGAACCTCATGTGTCTGCAAAACCCTGTGGTTGCTGACCAAGGAGGGGTGAGGACGATTTGGGGTCTCCAACACAGTCGTGACAGGCAGTGGCACTTACAGCAGGGAAAGGAGCCGGCCGGCCAGCACAGTTTCGTTACAGGGCTGAGAGATATTGCTGAATAGATTTGATAAATTTTTGACAAAATGAAAACACATATAACTACGCAATAGTTAACAAGATGCTTTGTATAACAGAAAACCGAGTTCTTGAACCGCATAGTTCTTAAGGAAAACACTCGAAACACGCGGATAAACCACATATAAAGCGCAGTATTGAAAAAGCTTCAAGGCAAACTCTGGGAATATTCATTATTATTGAGATGAGATGTGTGATATTCTTCAATTATCATCATGGCCAAGCAAAGCCCAGAGCATATCTTCATAATCACCACGGGTGTCTTTAGCAATGGCGCGATCTAAAGGGATACTATTCAATTTCTGGAATTCCTCCAGAATGGCCTTCATATCGACCTCAGCTCTAGTTGCAATAACTCTTGTCAAGTCACCTTCATCTGTGCCTCTTTTGTTGATTGCACCCCGAAGTACCTCCACAAAGTACTTCTCAGGGTAGAGAAGAGCTTGGATTGTTGTTCTTAATATGGAAGGGAACTCATCTTTTCCATCACCTTCCAAGTCCTGTGGATGAAATATGGATGTTTTCTCAAACGATCTTAGAAGGGGTTATTAGAGTTTGTACCCCACTTTTTCATCCAAATATGACACATACCCATTCATGAAATCACTAATATTTGCAGCCCCAAATATGACAATTTGCACTCCATCTGCCATTTACAAATCTTTCAAACTAGGGGGTGCAAATATTATACTACCTCCGTCCCTTAATTAATGTCCCAATTTGACATTTGAGTCAAACTTCTTTAAGCTTTGAATGCTAAATACTCAAAATTAACAATATTTATCCCAAAAAAATTATTTAATGTGCTTCATTGTAATATGTAATATTCAAATGTCAATTTATTATAGATTATATAGGTATATAGTTATAGATAATTACGGTCAAACGTCCGCCTAGGAGACGCAAAGTCAAATCGGGACTTTAATTACAGGGCAGAGAGAGTATATTTTAAAACTAGGGTGAAAACTCAATTTTGGATACAAAAATGGAGTGCAAACTCCTATTCGGCTATTCCCCCATCATAGAATATGATATGAGATACATGTGCAACTTACCAGGAGGACATCTTGTCCATATTCATCTCTATAGTGATTCAAGGTTGCATTGATTTGGCATTTGCTCCTTGTAGTCAGAATCCTAATGACATCATCATCAGCATAGCACTTGTCTGATATCTTCTCGTGCAGCAATTTAGCCTCATGTTTAGCAAGTGTCATATTAATCTCATCGCCTCCATAACGATATGAGCTCACCAAAAGCACCAAAAGCTGGGGAAATGGAATAAAATTTGATGCTTGATAATATCACAAATTACTACTTGTTTACTCTAATTAGTTTCAATACCAAGTTCATGCTATTAAGATACTTTTAAACTGAATAAATGTTACTCCGTAATTTGTTTGTGCTTGCTAGAGCTTAAGTTGGAGGCTTATAACCAATTTTAAGCTCCAAATAAAGTTATGAGTTTTCGTTGGTCTATAGCTTCTCATAAAAGATTTAATCTTTTTATTTTTTCTACTATTGATGATTAAACTGAAGAACTGAAAAATGCCATTGAGAGAGAACTTTTAGGGTTTTGCAGTAGCTAGATCGAATATCAATTTGATCGTCCCCAAATGACTCCTATGGCTTACAACACTTTTATTTTTATATCCTGACTACTAGCTTATCTCCAGCTTGTTGACATTTCAGTTAGGTGTTCCACATAGACCCTTAATCATGCAATCCACTGATCAATGTGGTGAGTAATACCTTGCGGTAGTCTCCAGCTGTGTGTTGTGCAACATCTTCTTCAAGGGACTTCTTGAAACGAGCATGATAAGCCTCTCTGACAGCAATCAACTCCTTAGGGGACCTTGTACAGGCAATCTCCACAAGCACTTGATGGCTTGCTGTCCATTTCTTAGTTGCTTCATTGGCCAAAAGGGCATCACGTTCGGGACCGTCCAGTGTCCAGAGAACTACAACTTTCTGAAGCAGAAAGAAATATAATACTACGTAAGTTCTTAATCGAAGGAAATCCATGAAAAGATAGGATTGGACTATAAGAGCAAATTCAATGTTTCAAATTTGATTTGACGAGTACCTCAAAGTCACTCGAGAGCTCCCTGTTTAACTCCTTGAGGATGTCTTCACCATAGGTTTCAGCGTATTCCTGCCGGATCGAATTGCGCTGGGCAGCATTCCTGTGACCCAAAATTGATATGATCAACTTCTCATTTGTTCCCCATCCTGCGTGACAAGAACAGTAAGCTTTATCCAGAAATAATTTCAATAACAATAAGATCTAAAATGAGGGAAGAGTGGATCGGTCGATCAGTCAGATAGCTTGTATGATTAATAGCAATTATTCGTTTACTGCACACACAGAATCAGATCGATTCTGTTTTACTTTTCACAAAAAAAAAGGAAAATTTAATGAATATAAGAGATCGAGATATTATCCTCCGATCGGGGATCAGGATCGGTAGCGATGAAGAAAAAACATGAAATCAGACTAGAACTAGAGATAGAATGAGATTACAGATTAGGAAAATGATCGAAAGAGAGGACCTTTGAAGGCAGCTCGGAGTTGCTCACAGTCTTGTTCCACCGGAGGCACACACACCGGAACACTCACTGTCGACATCACCGCTGACTGATTTTGCGCGCCACGAAAACGAGTGTAGGTAGGTGATAATGCGATTTCTATTCTTCAACATACGTAGTAATGAAAAGCTATGATCAATTGTACTCATATTAACGCGTCATTTTGACAACAGTACTCTCATCTTATTAATTGCACTAAAAAAATCACTCTAACTTTCCTTTTTGGGTTCCGAAATTAACTTCTCACTTTCCTACTTTCTTATCGACAAATTATTTACATCTAAACAGTGCAAAACAATGTAAAACAGTGTCGAAACAAAGTTAAAACAGTAAAATTTATCCCACTGCAAATTTATTTCTTTAATATGTGTGAAAATGAAGTGTGAAGTTGTTTACAGGACGGAGGGTATCTAATTTGCTCTGGAAAATATCGGATTTATATGTATCTTTTTACGCAAATTTATATGTATTTTATAACTGTTTAAGTCTAAATTGATATCATTTATTTAATTCTATCCCGGTCTTGTGCGGTCTATCGTGATCTAGTTTGAAATTGAATTAATCGACATCAAAACTTTTCTAATTTGAATATAATTTTTTATTCACCGAGATGTGACATGTTTTTACCGCCGTTATATTGTTTTGCGAATACATAAGCATCAATTTGATCAAGGACACCTATAAATCTCCCATAGGCTCGAATGTGATGTATTGCTCAAGATTAAGAAAGGAAAACATGTCACCCATGTACATAGTGTTAAGGCATTCCTTATTACTCATTACTCATGACATTTTGTCTTTGGCACAATATTTAAGGAGAAAATAGTAGGGATAATGAATATTTTAGAAAAAGTAGGAGAGAAGGCGAAAAAGTAAAAAAGAGAAAATAAAAAGTATGAAAAGTAAGGATAATTGGATAGTTTTAAAGGAAAAACTTACCAAAAAGGAAAAATGTAGCAAACTTTTAAATATATAACAAGTAGGAAAGTATCAAACTTTTAAAAATGGAGGGAGTCCTATAAATACAAATATTTTGAATAGTAAAAAGCGATTGATATATTTTAATCAAGAGACATTTATACACTCTACTTTACTCTCTAAATTAGCTCACACTTCTCTATATATTTCGATTTCATAATCCATCGAAAAGAAAAGAGGGCAAAGAGTGCTAATAATAAGAAGAAAAGGTAATCACAAGGATTAATAAAAAGGAAAAATTAAAATCATGAAAGATAAAGTAATCCTAAAACGATCAAGAGTACTAAAAAGAGAGAACATGAGACTCATCATAAACGGATTTGTGTTACTAAAGTGAGCTAGCAAAAACTCTTTTTTTTTTAACCTGGGAAAGCCACAAGAGGTGGTGGAAGCGCGGGGAACACTTCCAAATTTATTAAAAATATTAAAAACAAGAAAACATAGTTGCGAATAAAGAGCTGTACAAAGAACAAGGTGCAAAATAAAGAATTAACAATGGAAATTATTTGCAGGCACCCCTACTCCGGGAGAGAGTGACTGATTGTATTTATTGTGAAACAGGATGACCCTTTGAAGGTAAGTAGGGTATGTTTTGTCTCCGGGTTAATCACTTTTAGCTTTTTAGTCATGTTACTAGCTAGTGAGCTGAGTCATAGTTTGAGGAAACAGGTAGATGTATGAGTATTCATCTTCCAAAAGCGTTTTTGATCGACTTCAATTTATCGGGTGGTCCTCCAGGAAAGCTCTTGGGAAACGTGTTTGTTAGCATCATCTATTTGGGCTCTCCTCAATCACCTCCACAACTTCTCGTGCGATATATGCGCCTTCCGACAATATGGTTTCTTGGTCATCTTCCTCATTTTTATTTTCTTGGGTAGCTACAATGGTCACAACCTCTTTACTAACATCATGAGGACATTCAACCAGATCTTTTGTTTTTTAGACCCCTTTTTCTTTCTCCGCTAACATTTTCATATAAAAGGGCGATGCCCATATTCATCGCAATGAAAGCAAAACATATGAAAAGTTTCATACACCATAGTTTGCTTCAAAACCTTCCGAGATGGTAGTTATATTGGGAAAGATAGTGGGGACGGATTGGCCACGTCAACTTCAATTAACACTCTAGCAAAGTTATGGTTAGTCTTTTCTTGGGTGATCTTATCCGTATTTAGCGAACCCTCGACCATTGACACAACTTCACTTATGGCATCCTCATTTCAAAGTTTCATTGGTAAGTTAGGGAATCGACCCAGATAGGCACTTTGAAGAATTCTTTATCATCAAATGAGAAGTCCTCAGAGAGTACCTTGAGGAATAACAACTTACAAAAAATAGTGTAAGGTCCCTCAGTCAGCACTTTCACTCTATCATTTTGAAATTTGAAGATAACCCAACCCCTATATGGGGTTGAATAAGACATTTCACACCACATTTCGATCTCTTTCAATTCGTGAACAACCTTTAGTCCAGGGGAAACGTCATGTGAAGCATCCAGCTAGACAATAGCCCCACATCTCAACCATGAATGGCATAACCCTATCAGTAAAGTCCAAAGTATTGCCTTTCTGCGGGCTAATTCTCAATTTGAGCCCGTAAGATGGGGCTCGGTTATCCTTAAATAAAGCTGTGACACCACGGAAAATTTATCAAAATAAGATAAATAATTTTCATAGTCAAATAAATTGTTACAAAAGTGAAATTTTAATAATAAAGTGAATCAGACCAAAATAAAGAGGTTGTGACCATTGTAGCTACCCAAGAAAATAATCACCTGAGAAATTGTTTCAAATAAATTTAACAAACAAGTACGAGTTACATACACGTAGGAAATATTAAAGTTTTCATTTTAAAATGCAAAACTACACTAAAAAAATTAAAAAAATGAGTTACATACGAGACCCAATTAAACTTACGTAGTATATTTAAAAACTACGATTCCTACTCAACTGAAGCCATTCGGATAAATTTTAAAAACGACATAAAACCTTCCTACTGGTGTATATTTATACCCTTCGATCGACGACCTTCACGGCACCAATACAAACTAAGACATGCATTGCAAAGAGAGAAAAGAAATGAGGGAAGAAGGAAAAGAAAAAGGAGGGAAGGTGAGTCAAGGAGAAGGAAGAGGGTGCGAGGGAAACCAAAAAGAGTAAGAGAGCGAGGTAGGTTGCAGAACTATATTCGCCGGAGAGAGAGAGAGAAGAGTTTTCAGTTCTGCTAGTCGTTTTCCCACGCCGGAGTCGTGGCCGGAGACGATGCAGAGAGGGCCAACCAAACGCAGTCGCCTGAGAAAGTGGCATGTGGAATACAACGCCGAAGAAGCAATGCTGCGAGGAGGTCAGTCTGGCTTCACGCCGGAAAGAGAGGCCTGAGTTGCTGCCGCCGGAAGCAGCGGCGCCGGACTGGTTCACACCGGAGTGCTGGACTGCCACTTCTGAACGTCTCCGAATGTCACCAATCTACTGTCGTTACTTGTCGTGCCGCCGGAGATAGGAGCCTCCTGGAGTGCTGTTTGTACCACACTGGTTGATCGTCGCCGAAGAGCATCTGTGTACCTGCGTTCGCCCGACTGGAATCGACGAACATGTGGTACTGTTAAATGCTACGCTGATCTTTTACTAAGTTAATTTAGGCCGTTATTCCTTTATTTTAATGATGGGCCGGCAAAGTTAGTAGATTAATTATAATCATATAGTATAATAAAATAGTACTATCGTAATAACTATAGACCAATAAGACTTTTTAATTTGCAATTCGTAAATTTGTTTTGGAGTACTATCATTGGATTATAATAATAACATGGGTTTTTTACGAAATGAATAAAATGTTACTAGATTAATTAATTGAATGGATTAAGCGGCGAGGTTAAGTTAAAAATCGTATTTTAGAACAAACGAATATAGGTAAAATCATAAGAGGAGGAGTTCATAAATAAAGGATAGAAAAGTTTAACTATAAGTTGATATATATTGATATTAGAGTTTTAATATTTTTAGAAGGTGATTTTGGTGAAGATCGATGTAGAAGTTTCCGTTATGATTAATTGCGATTTGAGGTAAGTTTCTATGCCAATCCAAAATCGTTTCCTCGTATTATATATGTATTATGTGATACGTGATTTTAGTGTATGCATGTGATCTGAAAATTTTCAATCTGTGATATTTGAGAAGAAGTGCTTTTGAGTATTTAAACATTTTATTTAATTATTTTCAAGACACTTGAGAAATTGGGGAAATATTTTGAGTATACTAAATCAAGATAAAAGAATGTTTTCAAGAGATAGGCATCTCGGGAGTAATCCGAGGTGTTGGTGTATGGAATAATTGTAATTAGATTTTGATGATGCTATATATATTAGGATTTTAGAATACCCCCTCTTTAGATTTATTGTATTAGAAATTTTCCTTGTAAAGTTTCTTATAATAGTCGACTGACAGAAGACCTCCTGACAGAAGACCTTCTGATAGGCTTAGTCCTGACAGAAGACCTTTGGCTATCTGTTGATTCTTACTCAGACAGAAATCCTCTGGTTCTCTGTTGGACATCACTACAACTGAAACCTTCTAGACTCTTTGTTAGTTCACATCTGACAGAAGACCTAAAGGACCCTCTGATAGCTTATTCCAACAGAAGTGCACAAGACCTTCTCTGAGAGACTTTCTGCTGAAGACGCCAGAAGGCCTGACACTTGGAGAATTTTCTTGAAACTACTTCAACCGGTGAAACCAACGGAAGATTCCTTCAACGGCTAGAGGACTTCAACGGAAAAGCTACAGTACGCGCATTAAATGCACATTTAATGCACCCCGTACCCTGAAGAGTAAAAGCTGATGATTGGCCGATGTTTCAGGATTACTTTATCCCAAAATAGCAACTCGCCAACTTTCCCGGGTCCTACTGATCAAGTCAACTGTTCGCGCATTTAATGCATTGTCCTCCTCCTCCAACGGGAAGACAACCCAAGTATAAAAGATACTCTACGAAGAACAACCGGATAACTTTGGTACATCCTTTTCTCAACACTTGCTCTAGCAAAACCTTCAAGGATTCAAAATCAAAAAGCCTCCTTGAGATTAAAACTTGTTGGTCCCGGTTGTACTGGATACAGTCTAGAGGGGGGGGGTGAATAGACTGTATTGGTTTTTAACTTTTTCAAGCTAAGTACCAGATTTAACAAAATAGCCTGTTCTGTTGGCAGAACAGACTGGCAGCGGATGGGGTTCTGAAAGGGAGTTCTGTT